AAAAAAAAAAAAAAAAAAAAAAAAAAAAAAAAAAAAAAAAAGTGTGGTAGTCACAGGTAGTGTATATTTCCATGTTTTGGCTGAAGATTCATTCCGATTTTGCTCATCCTACACACACAGATCTACATTGCCATGCTTCATGAAATGAGCAAAATGGGATTGAATCTTTCCCTAGAACATGACAGTATCCACTTCCAGAACATGGAAATATACACTGCCAAAAAGGGGAAATATGGCAGCGTATATTTTTATGTTATAGGGACAGATTCATTCCCATTTTGCTCATCCTATGGATGGAAATCTCTCTCTCTCTCTCTCTCTCTCTCTCTCTCTCTCTCTCTCTCTCTCTCTCTGTGTGTGCGAGGGGCAACATTTTGCATCTGACAGCTCCTTAGTCCATACTCACACTGGGACATCTTTCCAAATCAGTCAACGCACACATAAAACTGTTGAATTGCAGGAGTGAGTTCGCATCCAGCGGCGAGCTACTATTTCTCCATTTTTTCCAAAACAGAAAGACCTAGTATAGAAAGGATCCGATGGTGTGTTGATGCCTTGGCCGATGCCCCCCTAAATGATGTGCGTCCCTCGTGTCCTAAAACAAACACCCTGAATATCGCCCGGGCCAGATAAGGGTCGTGCCTGGGGTGGGCTTGGCGCTGGGCCGGGGCTTCGCCGAGGCGGGTTCACTTGTGTTTTTTTTTTGAAATTAAACAGGACCGTTTCTGAATTTATGCGTGTCATCCTTGTGCAGGGGTGATGCTTATCTTATTTGTATCGTTCCAATTTCAACGGATGTCCCGAAGGACAAATGGGGCTCTAATCGGTAGACAAACAGCCTTGGACTACATTGAAGTTCGCGTAAAGTTCTTTTCCACGTACTCAATTTCTGTACGACTCTATGGAAAAAAAAAAAGCGTTCTTAATATTTCTTTTACGTTAGGTATCTGATCTATTATCCCTCATAATTAAAAAAAAAAAAAGAGTGAAGAAGGAAGATTGAAAAACTCTATTATGCACCCTCTCCCTCTCCCCCCTCCTCCCCCCTAAACCCGGGGAAAAGGAAAAGGAGGAGATACGGAGGCCAATGCTATGCCCGCATGCACAGAAAGATTTGTCATGTATTGTCATCACGAGCGAATATCCAAGAAAAAGCGCAGAATAGAACTCTCTTCCCCTGAACAGGATGCAGCGTGGTTACGACTTCTTCTTTTTATTTTTATTCTTTAACAGCAATTTCGTCAAAACGGGCATATTTTATTTTTTGAACGAAATTGAAAACTAAAAAATTGGCCCGATTTAGGTCGATATTTTCAGCTCCTGAGGGTACGGCATTCTGAAAACGCCCTACCTCCTGGATGCAAACTAAGTCCAGATACATCCAGGGGGGTACGGCATTTTCAGAACCCCCTGGACTCCAGCTAAGTCCAGATACATCCAAGGGGTGCTGCGTCTTAAGGACGCCGGACCCTCAAGAGCTTGAAATTTCCACCTACATCGCTCTAATTTATGAGGTTTCAATTTCGTTCAAAAAATAAAATATGTCCGTTTTGACGAAATTGCTGTTCTTTTTAAGGTGTGTCATACTTGCAAGGGGGCATGCTTATCTTCTCTGTATCTTTCCAATTTTAACAGATGTCCCGAAGGACTAGTGAGAAACCTTCATTGCGTGCTGCTGTTACTGTCTATGATCCCTTTGGTCCTTTCTTTTTTGTATTTTTTTCAGGAGGGCGTTGTCTTTAAGAGATTGTCGTTTTGCTGACCGGCTCCAGGTAATTCAGAAAGATTTTATTCTGTTCATTTTGCACTCTCTGGATTTTTCGAACTTGTGTCTATTTTTGGACAGTTTATGGGTGTGCCAACTGAGCTAACCCCGTCAGTTTATCAGTCTTTTCCCTCATCGTGGCCGTCGCGTTCATTTCTGCTGCTGTTAGCCATTGTTTTTGCATGACATTGTGGCCCAAGAGCAAGATCCCGCAAGAAAAGAGGATTGGATGGAACGCCTGAATCTGCACGTATTTTTGGGGCAGGTGGACAAGGACTCC